CATTTGGACTAAATCCTCTAGACCCCGAACAACTTCTAGTAGGTTGACAAGTCTTCTGTCTTCATCTATCATTGGTTGTATGCCTTGTCAGACCATTCATGCTTCCCTTGCCAGGCCGTGTAGAAGACGAGCTGCCTTCTGTACTTGATCCAGGAAGTCTCGGATGACTGCGTCTCTGGCCTTCACCCTTTGTTGTGCTTGCTCCCAACGGAAACGCCACTGTAAACCTCCGTCGAAGAGCACTATCTGAAGCTCGCTAACTTTCTTCTTGAACCCATCTACAATAGCTTCTAACTCAGCTATTGTTTTTCCACCTCTCTCATGTTGTTTCTCCATATCAACCATTTGGATTCTCAAGCATTGGTTTTGATGCAGACTGTCTGCTAAGCGCCTCTGGGGAGTCTTCATTTGTTCCTTCCAAGCTCTCTCATTAGGCCCTTCGAACTTTCTTTTCAGGCTATGAGCTTCGTCTTTCCAGTATTCAGAAGCCACTTTCAACTTGGAGTTATCCTTGACTTTAACTTGATATCCATTTCTCAAGTCTTCGAGTTCAAAATAGACTTTTTTCTGTTCTTTTTCAAGTTTTTTCTGCTCGATCTTTCTGAGAGTCGACATCTAGCTTCCACTGATAGCGCTCAGCTTCAAGCTCCTTTATCCTCTGCTTCAGCTCGTTATTCACAGCTTCAAACCCTGTCTTGCCTATCTCAAGTTCAGAAAAGACGGGCATGAGATGTTCTTCCAGGGTTCGGGTGTCCTCACAGTCTGGCACCGGGATATTGTCATTTTTTCTCAATCTTCACCACTCCACATAGTCCGGAGTAAGCATGTTTCTGGCAGCTACAACATCCATCCGGAATACTTTCTTCCATGAATCGACTGCTTCCTTGATCTTCTTATAGTTGTCACCGTGATACTCAAACTCTGATCTGGCTAGTCTGCATGTTGCTGGGACAAACTGATGTGCCCCATACTGTCTAAGTGCTAACAACGGAGCATACCCAACTGCACCCCAAAGTCCAAGTAAGGTCATAGTGTCAGAGTCCCCACATCGAAAAAGAACGTCACTGAGGAACAACCAGGGGGCTCTCCAGGTAATATCCTGATCTTGGATATGAGTGAAGACTTTCATCCATTTCTCTTTTGAAGCGCCTTCATGCCATTTCATGGTGATGAACTCTCTCAAAGGTGAATACGTAGTGCTAAATCGGCGGTAGGCAACCTCATTAGTCTTCCCATAAGTGGCTGTGAATCCAGACTTGAAGGAGCTGAACACACCCAATGAATCTACCTCCGCCAGCTCTTCGACAATGGTTGAGAGACCGAAAGGTCTCGGCTAAGATGGTCGGTGCTGGGTTGACTCGTTTTGAAAGTTGCTCAAACAGTTCCACCACGGCTGCGTCAATGTACCCCAAAGTCTTCAGGAATATAATCAGGCCATACAGACCCAGTGCAAACAGGTCTATTGCCTTCCACTCATCGGGATGGTCCTTCATCAGTTGCTTGATATGAAGCCAGACAATTCCTTCCCCACTGCCTTTACATCGAGCTTGGTCTGTTACCCATCTTTCGTCAACCCCAGCAACCTTGGCTAGTGCACTCTTGAAAGGCTGACTTTTGATGTGTTTAATATAAGCTCGCTCCAGTCTGATATTTTCACAGTGCAACAGTGTAGTGTACTCTTCAATGGTGGGCACCATGTCCTCCTGATTAAAAGTGAAGCAACTGTATCCCGGGTTCCAGAACTGAACCAAGGCTCTGATCAAGGGCTCATCAGTCTTGATTTGAAGCAACAATGCAATGTCACCGTACCGTTGGTTGAACTTTTGTTTCTGATCATTCTTCCAACTACCCCAGATGTCCCGAAGCTCTTGCACGTCGTTCTGCTTTAGGCTGATAGAGGCGTAGCTAACCAGCTCTGATACATATCTTCCTTGAAGACTATCTCTATTTTCCTTCTGAGTCTTCTCGGACCATAGTCATACCTCGGGATTTTTAATCTCTTGTATTACAACACCTTTATCCATTAATTTAGATTATTTTGTGTAACAAACACCTTTTTAGGGATCAATGGCCTCTTGTTATGATGCAAATGCTTTAAAAATAAACACAAAGGCAAACAATTAGTAAAATAAAAATAAATAGAAATTAAAAAAATGGCAAGAAAAAACATAAGAGAAAAAAAAACATGGTTAGGAAAGAAATATCTTAGGTTTTGGAATGTGGTTTTAGGGTATGCTCTATTTCTTCAAATTCTCTCGGTTTAGGTTCTAAAAAATGGTACCCGAGTTCTCCTTGCTGGTGCCCCCTTGGGCTTACCAGACCCTTAGTCCTAAACCCATCACATGCTCGTGTGGACTAAGTTAAACTCGAGAGGACACATTCTCTTATGTCTATGCGGAGAATAAATTCACACGAAGACATAAGGTATATGAATCCCGAAGGCTACTTGCTTGGCATATGCGGTGAATAAATTCACATGAATGCGTCGCTTTTACCCCCACTTAAAACGGGTTCGGAGCTCGGGTTTAGAGCCTTGAATGAAAAAGTTTGGAAAGCTGAAATCACTAGAAAACGGTCAGTTCAACTATTTACTCGAAAAAATATAATCAAAAGTAAGTAATAAGGATCGAAATGTTACCTTAAAATTTAAACTTACCCTTTTCGTTAAAAAGACAACTGGAAATTACCTTAGCCTGACTCACTTACCTGTGTCCCCAGCGGAGTCACCAAGCTGTCACAACCGTCATTCGATTGCGCCCCGAAATTTAAGCATAAACCATAAGTCACGTTAAAAACCTTCCTAATTTTGATGAAGAAAAAGAGTACTCATTGTGAGGAACAAAAACACACCAAGACCATACGCGTAGACCAACTACGCACTCGAAAGAATGTACAACGAACATCAAAATCACCCGAAAAACAACCAACTAAACCGACTGCCTGCTCCCAACATTGTGCATCCATGTAAATGTCTACCATGGAAACTATAAGATAGTAACAAACACCAGTGAAGACTTCTACCGCGACCATCAAAACATCCAACTTTAATATAACAGCACCTGATTGAAACCAGCTCTCGTCTATCATCATCACCAATCTTTGAAAAGGGACTTTTGAGACATACCCTCCACTGCCACAGACCTGCCAACACATACATACCAATCTACTTCAGCAATAATAGGCTGCCCGATTCAAGGAGAAAATTACTGTTGAAATGAAACGAGCTGCTCACAAATAAAACAATGCTCCTCTATACCCACAGCTACAAGCGAAAGAGCGGTACTCAACCAAAAACAACCAGCCATAAAACACTCACAAACATTACAAAAGAAACTGTCCGAGACAACTCGGAAGCAGCACCAGAAACAAACCATGTACATATACAGCAACCAACCACACTCAATGATATAGATGCAGAAGCGGCAACAACCATACTCAGATTTGCATGGATTGATTTCAATACTACTTTGAAAATAATTCTTTTAAACTCACTCACACACTAGCTCACTTTTCCCTTGCACAACATCACAATCAGCTTCAAAACCTTGTAACCAAAACAGAATTATCCAGCGAATTCAACAACGAGCTTCTCGACCCCGAGTCATGCTTACGCTTTACCAATCCGATCTTATTGAACAAACAAACACTTTCCAGCAAACACTATAAATTAAATATGATTTCACCTTGGAACATCCAAACAATTCGAGCCACCCAAACGCTCCGAGAACTGCTGCAATTGATCAAATCCACCACATCTCAGCTTATCAGAGATTTGAACTGAAAAAACAGACATTAACTCCCCTAAAATAGACACAAGCTTCCACTCAACGCCCTACCAATGGGCAGATAAACTTCAAAAGCAACCAAACAATCTTAACCCCTACAAATAATGAGGTCTGAAACTTCAATCCTCGAGCCTAACCAGCAAGAGGAACTAGAACCACCCTCCCACTTAAATCCTCTACGCCTAAGGAAAAGTAAAGATGAAAATTAATTTAATATATAAAAATACATCCGAAGGAAGATTTTAAGCTCTTGATGGCTCATTCCGTTTCCAAAAACTACCAAACTCAAAATCTGAAACAACAACGCCGCATCTAGAAATACGATAAAACTTCAACCGAGAATCGACCCTCCTTGCCGAGACTACAACTGACCTTACCCCTCTCACGAACCACAATAAGAACTTCATCCTCTTTCGACTACAACCGGCCTCACTCCCCTTACGGTCACCTACCAGCCTTAATTTTGCTCTAATAATGCTAATTCACGCACTACTTCTTGCTCATCTTCAACAATTTAAATTCCTGGCTGCTCTTTAATCGCCAATAGCCACTTTGCTTTAAGATCCGAGTAAGATAATGATCTTTCGGACACCTCTGAGGCCTCCAAATCAGCCTTCTTAAGCTTGTTTTTCTTGATTGCTCGATCTCTTTTTCTCCTATCTGCTATCGACAAGACTCTGTCTTGGAACTCTAGAATATATCCATATTTCTTTTTCTTTCTGCTCTTTCCCACTTTGGCTAACTCAGGGAAAAAAGCCAAGCCGTTCTCCTCCTCACTAAAACTCGCAAGAATACCATTTCCAGTTGGATCAAATTTTGAACTAACTTCGGATTGAATTTTAATCTTATCATTCAATCTAACAGCACACAAATTTATCATTGGACCTTGACCTTCAATCGGTTCGTTTTCTTTTAAACCAACACCCAAACCATTTGCAACCTCACGGTCCCTTGAGAAATCCTACTCTTTCGACATAATACCCCCGAAGAACCTAATGGATTACACGATTCTTTCAGACCCTCCTCACAACCAGAATTAATATTTGTATTAAGGCCTAACTCCTAGCCCCTTCATCAGACTTGTTTACTTTCTAGCACGCGACAGTTATTCTCCATAGTATCTTCCAGAACTGAGATTTTCTCCACTTCGAAAACGCTGCCACTCACATTTTCCATGTCATGATAGCTCTCGACAAGGCTCTTCCCAAGGTTTGTTTAATTCAATGTGCCTTCTTGAACAGATTGGCATAGGCTCTTAAGCTTCTCCGGTGACGCTCCAATAGCCCTTCTATCGGAAAACTTCTCCAATGAATCACACTCGGAGATTTTATCCTTCAAACCTACTTCGGATTTGTCCTCGAAACCGAGCTCTAATAAACCAATCTCGAACTGCAAATTCCCAATCACTAAATCCACAGCATCCTTAATCCGAGATCTTTGCTTGGTTGTAATTAGAATAGAGACTTTTTCGCAGTCCAAATTATGTTCTAAATTTTACCCGAACTCCTCAAAGTTACCTCAAAAAGCTACCAACCTTTTTAGCGTAATACCGTTCCAACACTGTAATGGGATGCCTGAAAATTCTACTCGCGTTGTACGTTCAACCGGGTTTAAAGTCTCAGACCAAGTTTAATTTCAACGAAGATTTCTTTTAAATATGACCACTGGAGGTCTTCCAAGAATAAGAACAGATCTTCTTCTACAATTGTTAGCGGGTAAGATTTGCCACCCATCCTTTGAACTTTTATCTCTCCAAGACCCCACTCCTGCAGTCTTATCGAGATACTCCTTGAGCTACATACCTTAGCCATAGTGCCCACAAGACACCTCCTCAATTTCCACACGTCTTTCTCCTCAATGTGGCCATTGATACTCTTTCGTTTGATATTCTCTTGAGCTTTTGGTGCATCATTAAACCTATTAGTTATAACATGTTCCACCTTTCCTTCTTCTCCCCAAACTTTATCCTTTCCATAATCTGGACTTTTTCCACCATTTTACCTTCCTTCACGGTATTTGATCGGTCGTCTTGAATGTTCTCTGTTATATTCATTTCATGTCTCATTGATTGTCTTTCTTCTATTAACCCTCTAACGATTCCTATTTCATTTTTGGCATTATTCCATGGTTGGCTCTTTCTGGTATCCCTTGTTCTTTCTTCTTCCTCTAGTACTGGTCCCTGCTGTTATATCCAGCCATTGATGCTGATAACCGATTCCCATTTAACTTAATTTCATTAGGTAGGGTAAGCATTCGATCGAGTCGAATAAAAAATTTTCTAGTTATTCAAGTTGATGAGTCGCATTTTATAACTCGAACTTAACTCAAAATTTTTTCGAGTCGAGTTATTTGATTTTCTATACTAATTTTATTATAATTATTTATGGTATTATGAAAATGATTTATTCCAATTTTTGACTTTATCTAATTAATATATATATATATATATATATTCTTTCATATTAAAATGTTATTTAATATTTCAAATACAATCTAAAATTATGAAATATATTCATAATATTAAATTTTAAAGAAAGTATTTTGAGGATGAAATATTGATGAGAGTACAAATGAGTCAAGGAATTGATGAGAAGAAAGAATTTGCAAACAATTATAATCAAAAGACCAAATTGAGTAAAATGCAAAGTGAAGGGACTAAATAAAAAAGAGAATGCATCTTTATGTAAAAAATAACAGTTGAAGTTACATAGGTATTCTATTGTGATATATGAGCATGTGGTTCAAATTTGACAAAAATGGACTTAAAATAAATCACAAATTGAAGGAATAAGGAGATTATGAAAAATTGAATGACTAAATTAAAAAATAAAAAAATATGTTATCAAAAAGAGGAATTGAAAGTACACATGTATTCTACTATGGTTTAGGATCATGTGACTCAAATTTGGTAACAAATCAAACTTAAAATAAATGACGAATTGAAGAAATAAGGAGATTATGAAAAACTGAACGATTAAATTGAAAAATAAAAAATTGTCATCAAAAAGAGGAATTGAAAGTACACATGTATTTAATATAATTTAGGATCATGTGGTTCAAATTTAGTAAAAATAGACTTAAAATGGAGTATGAATTAAAGAAATAATGAAATCAGCGACAAAATCGTAAAACTGTCAAAATAAATTTTTGATTTTTTGAGTAACTTGAAAAATCAAAATTTCAACTCGATTCAAAATCGAAAACTAAATTTATGATTCGTATTAACTCGAATAACTTAAAATTAAAAAAATTAATTTTTCGAGTCAAATTTTAATCTCTACCATTGAGATTCTTTATCGCCTTCGGTGCATCTGCCATACCAATCCAGCCTGATAGATCCAAAACTGACTCTCTTTCTGCTTCTTTTTGATGCCATAAAACTATCGACCCAAATAATTATGAAATATATTCATAATATTAAATTTTAAAGAAAGTTTTTGAGGATGAAATATAGATGTGAAAGAAAACTGTTGACGCCATCACATCGCAAATGTCTTGTTAGTTGAGTAGTTGTTGATTTTTCGTTTCTTTTGTTGGTCGAGTTTTAATTTTTTGTCCGTGTTGTGATATGAATATATTTTACACGAGTATATTTATTTTCTTTAAGATATTTTACACATTTGAAAGAGCGTACTTGAATACTAGCATGTTTGAATATGTATCCTGTCTTGAGTGCTACACGTATGGTTTTGGGTCTTGCAATAGAGGGACCATATCATTGGGCAAGTGCCCCACACTACCTAACCCAGAGTCCTCATCAATCCTTTCTTCTTTAGCTTTCGCCCATATGACAGCGTAAAATCCCATGGATAAGATGACTGCTCCTATAACACTGCAAAGAGAGAGGATGAATCAATTACCTCAAAAAAAAACCAAAATTAAGAGCTTAGAAAACAAAACATAGACAGATCCTTTCAAACTGTTATCCCAGCCATATTGAGAACTCAGTACCTTCCAAGATGTAGAGGATCACCAAGAAATATGGCGCTCATAAAAGCAGCGATAGCAATCGACAATGGTTGGAAAATTACAACATAGACCGGTCCTTTCAAGCGAATGCCCCAGACGTGCACTAACGAGCTCAAGGCTGAAAACACTCCCTAAACAGGTACATGAAAATTATATTTAGATATTTTCTTTATTTCCTTGTTTGTTTAATTGTATTTGATCATTAAGGTCTTACCGAGTATAAGACCGTAACAATGACCAATGTAGGTTTTAGCCTCCAAGAAGTCATGTTGGGTTCTGCCATTAAGGATACTGGTACTGCTATAACTGCTGCAAACAAGTTATAAAAGCAGGCTATGCTCAACTCTTGCTTGTATATCTGCACCAACTCAGCCTGTAAAATGCAAAAATTCATTTCTTCTCATTAATAGAGGTTAGTAATTCGTGATTTTTTTTACTACCAATCTGTATTGAGTACCATAAATTCATTATAGACAATCCTCTCAACCCAATTTACTCTATTCGATCGTAATTTGATCTTATAATCTTACTTAAGTGATTTAACGATTTATCCCACTAAACAGAAGATGGTACAACTAATATTCTTACCTGAAGAATGCAGGAGATGGAAAACAGAAGATAGGCAACGACAAGCAAGAGTCCACCATCTCTCCAATTAGATTCCGACGATCCCAGAAACCATTGATGTAAAACAGATGATGATGAAAACACTTCGGGGCCCTTACAAAGTGCTACTACCAATGCACCACATACCGATACTATGGTTCCCATTATTTTAGCTTGACTGATTATACTTCTCAATGCTACTTTCTCCAACCTTTCAGTAAAAAAAAAAAAGCAAGTCTTTTTGTTAATATAATTGTTAGTTTAAGATCAAGTGTCAACTGCGGCCGAACAAGAAAATTTTATTTTTGGGATGTTAAATTTAAAAACTATATGAAGAATCTTTTTAAGTGGAAAAATTTTGTTTTTAAATTCGTTTATTAAATATTTTTTAGAAGGTAGGGTCAATTTATTTTTTGTTTAAAGTAAAAATAACTACTCAAACTATGCTTTTTTTTTTTTGCTTTAAGTACTTAAACTATTTTTTTTTGGTCAAACTAAGCTCTTAAACCATTATATTTAATCATTTTAAGTCCAATCATTTTTTAACTAAAAAAGTATTTTTTGACCAATAAGATTTTGACACCTTATATAAAATTATGTATTTATTTTGACCAAAAATAGTTTAACGGCTTAAAGCTAAAAAGAGTTATAGTTAGAGACTTATTTTGACAAAAAAAATTAGGTACTTAAAGTGGTTAAATATAAGAGTTTAAGGATTTTGTTTAACTAAAAAATAATTTAGGTACTTAAACAAAAAAATGACATAATTCGAGTTTTTTTTAGTTTGTCTTTCTTTCTTAAAAGGGTGTCAATTTTTTTTCAAACACACTGTCATTTTTTATATTATACATAATTTATATGAGAAAAAATTAAAAACTTTTGAACATCCCACAATACAGATTGCGTAACATTTATTAATAATGTATATGTTTAAAAAAGAAATAAATATATAATGTACGAATCAAATGATTTTATTAATTAAAGAATTGTTGTTATTCTTTGAGGTGTTAGATACGAGTATCACGTACGCAAGTCTTTGAATATATACTACCATATATTTACTCCATACTAATAAAAGATAATAATAAATTTAACTTTTTTTAATATTAATATTTTTTAATTTTATAGATTTTCTTCTAAAAATTTTATAACAATAGTTATTGAATATTTTTCTAACCATAAATCATTTATTGATCTGATATATAAAATAAATAATTCTATCTTAATATAATGTACATGTGGATTACCACTCCAAAACTATTAAAATCATAAATTGTAAGACCAAATCGCAAAAGGAGTAAAATTGTAAAAAGGAGTTTTACTGTACCAATGACCAAATCCTATATTATGTTATTTTTTTCGATTAAATATATTACATTAAAGGTCTTGTTACTGGGTTGTTTTTTAAAAGTATTTTTGGAGTTACATTTAAGACGAAAATAATACATAATAATTAATTTTTTAAGGTTAATAAAAGGTACGTGAATAAAAGTATTTTTAAATACTATTTTATAATCCTTTTAGTTTAATAAAAAATAACACTTAAATTTTATATTTAAAAAATATTAAAATAAAAGGTACGTGAATAAAAAAATATATATATAATATTTATTTTTAAGGTTGAATTTGATATCTAAACTTTTTTTAATTTAAATAAGTATCTTAATTTTGTTTCAGGGTTCAATTTGGTACCTAAGCTTTTTTTATCTCGTTAGGTACTTAAACTTTGCTTTTTGGTTCAAGTTGGTACAAACAATTTTTAACCAATTTGAACCAAGATATCAAATTTATATTTGAAATTGAATCTTGAAACCAAAATCAAGTACTTAATTAAGAAAAAAAGCTTAAGTAACAAAAAGAATCATAAAGTCAAATTTAGGTACCAAAATGTATATAACCCAAAAAAGAATATGAAAAAGGAACCTGAAAAGAACAGCAAGAATGAAGATCAAAGCTGGTGAGATATTTCTGACTGCTGAAGCAAGAGTTGGGGAGCTGTATTCTATACCTTTATATGCACATATCTGACCTAAAAACCTGTTAATTCCCAGAAAACTTGAATTACAATTCACCAAAAACAATGAACAAAACACCAAAAAGCGAACAAGAAAGCAATACCCAGTGAGCCCAATAAGACAAATTCTAGAGCCAATATGGAATTTCAAAGGAGAAACCACTCTTCCACTGCATACATCGAGAAAACACAATCGATCAGTTCAGTCGATGAAAAGAAGCTGGGGACTTAAATTACGGTCGCAATCGACGAATCGAGAAAAAACCTGTAGAAGATGAAAGGTAAAGGAAAGAGAACGAGGGCAGTAATCGCATAACCATAAGTGATGAAGACGTAGTGGCTCATCATGTCCTTGGAAGTGGAAGCTTTGAACAAGATGTTGACCACTACGTTCCCAGATTCGGCAGCCACCATGGCTGCAAATGGAAGGATATGCTTGTACCAATACATTCTCCATCTCCTTTCTTCCTCCATCTTCAACCCCTCTTTTTCTCCGATTTTAATGGTGGGCTTTGAGTATAATATCCACGATTTCTCAATGGCATCAGTGAGAATTGCGTCATTTCAAAATGGTTACATGTATGATCAATGGACTCTTTTCATTACTATTTGTTTACGTTTTGACTTTTTTTTCTTTATTTCCATTTTTTCTTTTCTCTTGTTTGAAAAAACTAAACAAACATTTTGGTATTTTCTTCTCTTGTTTGAAAAAACTTAACAAATATGTGAAATTTTTTTAGGAATTGCGAAGCATCGTTGAATTGAATTAATAAATATTCAAATAGATAGAATTCGAATATCAAACGGGTAGTTGGAATCGAACCTACATCGTTAGCACGGAAGCCTAGGGGTTATAATCGACCTTGATTCATTATTTTTAACATCTCTATTTCAAAACCAAACATGAAATTTTGGTTTCATTTGGCTCCTTTATGGAAGATAATAAATTCAAAAAACAAGAAAAAGAAATAAAAAAAGGCAGGAACTGAAGACACCAAATTTTGTCCCGTTATATAATATATGTCCTTTAATGTCGTTACATTACATAATATACTTACATTATAGATTATATTATATAATAGTTTATTACATTTACACACATTTATTTTACATGTCACAGGTCCGTTTCACAAATAAAAAAACATTTGCAGGCCCAACAAATCGCTGGAGTGTAGCCTACCACGTATAGGAATAGGGTTTTCTGGAAACCCTAGCTTGCCTCCCTCTTGTCCCAACCGCCAAACGCCTCGACCGTTGGATCTAGATGAGATCCAACGGTCCATAATAGACCCTATTGTAGGGTTTTAACCTTCACTCATTTCAGCGCCGCAACTGTCCCCTTGCGAGAATCCTCGTGTCCCACGTCTCACCAAGAGTCTATCCCTGGTTATCTCGGCACCAGTTCCCGATCCCCTCGGCGCAAGGAAAGCACACGAAGCCAACCATAAACAACAAGCAAGACAGCGTGTTAGTTTAGAACTTCAACAACCAAGCCGAGTTTTACTCGGATTAAAATTCTAAGATAGGGTATTTGTTGTATTATAAATAGAGATCTAGAGGAAAGAAATAAGGGAGGAGACTGGTACACAAAGACCACACATCTATAGCAAATATAGGGAAGCAAGCCGAATCTTTGTACAACGTTTGAAATGAAATAAAGGTAGCGTTTTTACCTCGTTTTGTTCGTCCTTGGTTTCTTGCATGCGTAGTTACTCGCGTTTTATGCTTGAAAACCCCAAAGAAAAACATTAAAAGTCGATGACCAGAGTAGGGGTGTACGAAAATTTCTTTTCTAGATCTACACCCCTACGAGGCTTATTTTAGAAAATGGTGGTGTTTTTCGTGACGAGGGTGTTGTGTGCTTTCGAAAAAATCAAAAAAATTTGAGGTTTGCCGCCAATGAACGGCGGCCGGCGAGGCGGCGCGGGGCGGCCAACGGACGGTTTCTGGAAATTGGCAGCCTGTGTTTATCCACTGGGATGAACACGCGAGAGAAAAGGATAAAAAGGGGGAGTCTTTGGTTTCAAATGAGGAGGAAATGAATTTTAAAACGTTTTGTTGGCTTAAATACTGAAACCATTAGAAGATCCACGCACGACCCGATCCGTTATGAGTGGATCCGCGTGTTTCTGTTGTATAAAGGGTAAACTGTGCTTTTTGGACCCTCCGGTTTCTAAAACTTCCATTTTACCCCCCCCCAATCCGATTTTTTAAACCCCATTTTCTTTTGAATTCGACCTTCAATCAGGGTTTTCTTTCAATTTAGTCCTGTTACTTTATTTTTTTATTTTTTATTATAATTATTATAATTATTTTTAATATTACTACTTTATATATATATACGTATTTCATATTTTACTTTTATATTATTACTTTTTGTTTTGTTTACAAATTATCATATAGGTATATATTATTTTTTTATTATTAATATAACTATTACTATTATCTTCTTTTTACTAATTTATATATATATATTTTATTTTATTATTATTATATACGTATACTATTTTGTTTTCTTTATTTGATTGTTTTTGCTTAATGTTATATTTTAATATATATATATATATATATATATATATATATATATATATATATATATATATACTTTTAATAGTTTATTTATATGTCTATTATTATTATGTGTGCATTTCAATCATTTTTATTCGATTACCTTTTTCTTTACTTTGTTTTTATTTCTTTGATGATCATTTTTTTCATTGTATTTATTTATTCATTGGTTGTATATAGATTATTAATATTTCATTTATTTATTTATTTTACTCTACTTATTAACTTTTTTTTCTATTTTTATCTTCATTCTTGTTTCCTTTATTTTTATTTTTATTTTCATTTTCGTTCTTTAACGTCTTTATTTTTAAGGGAATTTCAATCAATCAAGGGTAAGTAATTCGGATCGATGTTTTACCTTTTAATTTAACTTTCAATTTTCTTAATTAAAGACAACTGAAAATTACACAGTACCGAAAGGGCAGTTCAAGGGTGTTAACCCTTCCTTGACTGTAACCGACTCCCGAATCCGACACATCTTTGGTAAGGCGCGGATCAGGTAAGAAATAAGGTATCCGATCAACCTATTTTGTTTAAAATAAATGATCGGTGGCGAATCCAATCCACTTCATTTAAGTCGAAACCCAATCCTGGGGCCCAACCGAAAGATGGTTCCGACAGCTTGGCGATTCCGCTGGGGACACAGGTAAGTGAGTCAGGCTAAGGTAATTTCTAGTTGTCTTTTTAATGAAAAGGGTAAGTTTGAACTTTAAGGTAACATTTCGATCCTTATTACTTACTTTTGGTTATATTTTTTCGAGTAAATAGTTGGACTGACCGTTTTCTAATGATTTCAGTCTTCCAAACTTTTTCATCCAAAGGCTCTATACCCGAGCTCCGAACCCTTTAAGTGGGGGTGAAAGCGACGCATTCGTGTGAATTTATTCACCGCATATGCCTAGCAAGTAGCCTTCGGGATTCATATACCTTATGTCTTCGTGTGAATTTATTCTCTGCATAGACATAAGGGAATGTGTCCCCTCGAGTTTAACTTAGTCCACACAAGCCTGTGATGGGTTTAGGACTAAGGGTCTGGTAAGCCCAAGGGGGCACCAGCAAGGAGAACTCGGGTACCGTTTTTTAGAACCTAAACCATGAGACTTCGAAGAAATAGAGCCTGCCCCAAAACCACATTCCAAAACCTAGGACAGTTCTTTCCTAACCATTTGTTTTTCCTTATGTTTTTTCTTGCCATTTATTTCTTGTTATTTTTATTTATTTCCATTTATTTTTATTTTACTAACTGTTTGCCTTTGTGTTTGTTTTTTAGCATTTGCATCATAACAAGAGGTCATTGATCCCTAAAAGGTGTTTGTTACACAAAATAATCTGAATTAATGGATAAAGGTGTTGTAATACAAGAGATTAAAAACCCTGAGGTACGACTATGATCCGAGAAGACTCAGAAAGAAAAGGGAGACAGTCTTCAAGATAGCTATATGTCAGAGCTGATTAGCTACGCCTCGATCAGCCTAAAGCAGAATGACGTGCAAGAGCTTCGGGACATCTGGGACAGTTGGAAGAATGAGGTGAAACAAAAGTTCAGCCAACGGTAGTGTGATGTTGCACTTTTGCTTCATGTTAAGACGGATGAGCCCCTAATCAGAGCCTTGGTTCAATTCTGGAACCCGGGATACAGTTGCTTCACCTTTAACCGGGAAGACATGGTGCCCACCATAGAAGAGTACACTACACTGCTGCATTATGAAAACATCAAACTCGAGCGGGCCTACCTTAAGCACATTAAAAGCCAACCTTTCAAAAATGCACTAGCCAAGGTTGCCGGAGTTGATGAAAAATGGGTAACTGACCGAGCCCGATGTAAGGGTAGTGGAGAAGGAATCGCTTGGCTTCATATCAAGCAACTAATGAAGCATCATCCCGATGAGTGGAAGACAATAGACCTGTTTGCATTAGGTCTGTATGGTCTAATTATACTCTCAAAGACCTTGGGATACATCGATGCCGCCATAGTGGAGCTATTCGAATAGCTCTCGAGAAAAGTCAATCCAACACCGACCATCTTAGCCGAGACCTTCCAATCTCTCAATCATTGTAGAAGAACTGGCGGAGGAAGGTTCACTGGTTGTGTTCAGCTCCTTCAAGTCTGGATTCACAGCCACTTCTGGAAGACTAACGGGGTTGCCTACCGCCGTTTTAGCACCATATATTCACCTCTAGGTGAATTCATCACCATGAAATGGCATGAAGGCGCCTCAAAGGAAAAATGGATGAAGGTTTTTACGCATCTTCAGGACCGGGATATTGTCTGGAGAGCCCCCTGGTTATTCCTCAGTGACGTTCTTTTCCGATGTGGGGACTCCGACACTTTGACCTTACTTGGACTTTGGGGTGCAGTTGGGTATGCTCCATTGTTAGCACTTAGACAGTATGGGGCACGTCAGTTTGTCCCAACGACATATGGACTAGCTAGGTCAAAGTTTGAGTATCACGGTGACAGCTATAAGAAGATGATCAAGGAAGTAGCTGATTCATGGAGGAAAGTATTCCGGATGGATGTTGTAGCTGCCAGAAGCATGCTTACTCCTGATTATGTGGAGTGGCGAAGGTTAAGGAAAAATGACAATATTCCGGTACCAGACTATGAAGACACCCGTACCATGGAGGAACATCTCAGGCATGTCCCTTTTGAACTCGAGATAGCCAAGACCGAGTTTGAAGCTGTGAATAATGAGCTAAAGCAGAGGATAAGGGAACTTGAAGCTGAACGTTATCAGTGGAAGCTTGATGCTGACTCTCAGAAAGATCGGGCAGATAAACTGGAAAAAGAGCAAAAAAGAGTCCGTTTTGAGCTCGAAGACTTGAGAAAGGGGTATCAAGATAAGGTCAAGGATAACTCCAAGTTGAAGGTAACCTCTGAATACTGGAAAGACGAAGCTCATAGC